CCAAATAAAGTTAATCTAATTGGATTTTTTAAACGTTAAATAATAAGTTAAAAAGATATTATTTTTTATTTCATATATTAAGGTTTTAGTTATGATACTCATAAATAATTCTGCAGACTTTTACCAAATTTCTCCGCAGAAAAAGCAAAAAACGTCCGCAGATTCCATCTGGCCCTACTTATGAGCAATCAAAATGCATAAAACGATGAAATTACCTTTCAAAATGATGTTTCCATCAAGTTGGTATTCCAAGCGCACAACTTCTGGCATTTCCTTGACCATATCCAAAACATTTCTGAAGCCCAGCAGCCTGAGGGGCATAGGAAAGCCCAGCATGCTCTGGTAGTCTCTTCTGAGGTGCTCAGGGGTCAAACCATGCTTGGAGGAGACCAGAAGTGACCGGACATCCTTCTTCAAACCCGCGAGCAGCTGATCCTGGGTCATTCTGACAGTTAAAAACAGAAGCGATTTATACATGACGGCGGACAAAAACGCGACAGTATTACGTTTATTGAGGTATGTTGGTTTTATATTCACACATTCGTTCAGTGACAGCTCACTGTTTTGTTTACCTTGGTACTTTGAATATTCGGACTGAAATTACATGCAAGTATGATTTTAAAACAACATTAGCACTATTTAATAGACTGTGAACAATGTAGTACTTTGATAGTGATTGGCTGCTAATATAATTTCACTATTTAGAATTTGCAAAGAATACTTTTCTGAATAAATGATATTATTAAGGAGAAAATATGAATGTGCAAATATAAAACCAACTTCACCTCAATGTATTAAATATGTGTCTGTCGAGATGTCAACATCTTGCGAAAATCAGCTTTAATTAGAGGCATTGTTGCTTTAACGCAAAATGCACGTAATGAATTCTAAAACATGGCTGTAAACGCGTATTAAAATGATTGTTTAGTATTTTAATGTGTTTTGTCGAAAGCTGCTTACCTTTTGTTTAAGTAAACGCTTTCACTGGTTTCCGTACTGATCACACGACAGGCCACGTTTTTAAAAAAGCGAATTTTGTTTCACAGGTGCACGAGCGCGATGACGTCAGTGTCGTGGACGTCAAAAATATCTTCCGAGATGAAATTTGTAAAAATAGTGCAGAAATGTAGGTGTTACAGTACTTCATTAGCGCGCTTGTTTGTGTGAAGACGCTGCCGAATTCTGACGCACGTGCTCTGCCAGCCTTCAATCAAGCTGCTCTGCTGAGACTGCACATTGCATAGTGACTCCATAGTTTTTTGTTGTTGTTGTAGTTTATTTATTTTTTTGAGAGTGACAACTAAGCTAACAAAAATATGCTACACCATTAAGGTGACCTGTGGTAGTAAAATCATACTTTATCAACGTTTCTTGTAATATTATTCAAATGTTATGCCATTAAATTAACTAATTAGTCTATTAAAATAATAATTTAAAAACTTCAAATGCAAATGTAAACCCTTTTACATAGATAAAATTATATATGTTTTTGTTTGATTATTAAAGCACTTTCTGATGATTTTTTTTCTTTATTTCACTAGTAATTGAATTGATATAATTAATATAACATAATTTAATATAACATTAACTTTATCGATCAATAATATTTGTATTCATAAATCAGATAGATCATTAAACATTCCCACAAAGAGGGGAATTGCCCCCTCAGAAAAAAATTTAGCCCCCCCCAGTTTTTATAAAGGATTGTTCACTCAAACTGAAAATTCTTTCTGTCATTAATTATTAACACCCCCGTCCATCCAACCTTCAGAACACACATTTAAATATTTTAAAATATATGACATAGCAATTGAATTATGAGAATGGCTATATCATGATGAACAGTGCTTTATAATAACAATAATAATTCCTTACATTTCTATAGCGCTTTTCTTGGCACTCAAAGCGCTTTACACATAGGGGGAATCTTCTCATCTACTTTTTTATTTTATTTTTTTTTTATGCAAGAAAGAACATTACAGAGATATAATATGAACAAAGAGACAAAGAGGGTTACATAAATAGAATTCCAGCAAATTAAACAAGTTTAAATGATTTACACTAAGAAAGCGTTTTACATGCAGTGTAATTGTTAGAGTCTTTTAAAGAGTTCACATAAATTTCAAAGTCCTTTCAGAAAATAAAAAAGTAAGGGTGTTTCTTTGAAAATTTACATTTATGGATGTAAAATTTTGTTGAAAAAAAAATAAATCAATAATAAATTTACAATGAGAAGGATCTACACTCAGAGTAACCAAATAATACAATTTTGGGGGAAATACAGAAGTTTGGAAATAAGATTTTTTTTATGAAATTGGAAAAGTCAACCCAAAACACTTTACAGTAAGTACACTCCCAAAACAAATGGTTTAGAATTTCATCATATTGAGTAAAAAAGGAGCATTTAGGGGAAATATTTTTATTAAATTTAGCTAGTTTGGTATTTATTGGGTAGCAATCTCTTCATCTACCACCAGTGTAGCACCTGGATGAAGCGACAGCAGCCATTTTCCACCAGACCGCACACCACAGAGAGAGAGAAGAGTAATGAAGTCAATTATGATATGGAGATGGTTAGGAGGCCATGATGGACAGAGGCCAGTGGGTAAATTTTACCAGGATGCCGGGGTTAAACCCGTAATCTTTTTCGAAAGACATTCTGGGATTTTAGGGTATATGCTGAAGCATGCTAATAGGACTTTTAATTTGCCAGAAACCTGAGTTAAGCGCTTCCGGCGAGCTGTATGCCAAAGGAAAAATCTGCACGTTTTTAAGGTCTGTTTTCTTTAAAAATCAGCGATCTCCACTGGCTGAGTGATATCCGATATGAAGTGGGTCTCAGATTGTACTAGAAGCACTGCATTAAATTACATTTTCTCCGCCATGTCTTTATAAATGAGCATTTAGTCTGCGCTATCCTGCCGATTCTGACGGGCGAGTGCGAGTAAAAGGCATTTTGTCTCGTTTTACGCTTGAGCAACTAAATGAATGGCAAAGTTTATTTAACTGAATGTATTTTAATTACAGTACAACATGAATGCTGTAAAAGGAACTGTATAAAATGGAAAAAACTCACAATAACCGGTCACCGGAAGTTTATAAGTATATGGGAACAACACTAACTCGGCATATACCCAATTATATTCATCTGTCTCCATATTCTACTGCATCCCAGAATATTAAACCAAAAATGTTAAATATATATATATATTGAATATATTTAATATATTTTTGTTTACGGAAGAAGGCATCTTGCCATGACGCAGATTCCCGAGTCTGTGTGTGCTCCAATCAGGTGAGCCCTCTTCAGCGCTCACCATGACAACGAGACAGCAGTGACGTGCCTCGTAAAAATTTGCATCTGCATTCCTATAAAGCTCGTGTGCTCTCTGTCAGCGTTGTCAGTTCGCTCGGTGTTGCTGTTTGTACTTGATCAAGGTGAGTTCAATACCGACGGTACGAGTGGAGCCACGCCAATCTCACGAAGTCCGCTTCGTGAAGCTTCACTCGGGCCCGTCTGTGCTGTAGTTCCTTGTGGTTTACGTACATAAACGTAACATCGCAAGGAATATTACGTGATTGTTGCTGGAAATGTGCCGCCGAGCAACATCCAGTGAATACTGGCACGGCCTGGCGCCCGGTCTTCTCGTGCACTCCCTGGGGCGAGGCGGCCTTTGAGCCCTAGGCAGGGAACAAACAACCCCCGAGGACCCTCAGGGAAACACGGGGGGCCGGTAGTGGGACCTCGCTGCGAGGGTTATGGTGGGTGGGAGTAGCGAGGCCCACTCATCGTCTATTTTAAACTATAGTTTCAAACTTTAGTTTACTATAGTTTGAAATAGACACCATGGTAACTGTTATGATTTAACTTTATGCAAAGAGCTTAGAATGACCTAGAGCAACAGACCCGGATTCCGCCATTTTGAAGTGTCGCGATGGAAAGCAGCTGCTTTGTTTTTATTTAATTTATTCAAATAGCACGTTATTGTTTCCCAAATTGTAGAATATCGCCTCTTGGTGATTCTATGCTCTTTGCGCTTTGTCTGACTGTTGTAATGTTTTGCTTTGTTTTTCAGCTAAGCTGTTGAGCAAAGAAGGACTATTGAAGACAACAGTTGAAGACAATCGCGGGTTATATTCACGAGCGCGCGCGTTATAATGTTTCCGGGTTGTTTTCTGAAAGTTTGTTCTGTTTGCATGTCAAACTAAATAAACTATACTCTTTCGAAAGACCTGTCTCATGTTTTATTTGTCCTCTACAGCAATTCACTGTCATGTAAGTCTGTTGAATGCATTTGTATGCAACATGGTTTGACAATACAGTAGTCTAACAAATGGTTGTTATAAATGTACCTTCATTAGTCAACATTTAGTGTAGGTAATAAAACGTTAATCAAAAATGTCCTAAGACATAAGGGTTGTGTTAGGGTTGTTTCATAACCATATTTATTATTATTCTGTTTGGTTAAAACCAGCAAATTATACTGTATATTTAACATGTCATGAACTTACTGTTATTTTAAAATTTGCTTAATAAAATGTCCTGAGACAAGACGGGGTGTTGTTTTGATTTTATGTCAACCTACAGTAGGATTTAGGTTGACTACAGCAGGTATAAGCTACATGCATCATAGGGAGTTTTTTTTAATGACCCAAATCAAGTAAAACGTCTTACTCAAGTACTTTTAGCATGCAAAAGTCAAATTTAAGATTTATTTTTATTTATATAAAATACAGTTTCCAACAACAAAATTTTGTCTTGTGAAAAAGACCAGTGTGGTGGTGAGAAAAAAAGTAACATCAAGTTATATATATTTATAAAAGAAGTGAAAAAGTTGTCATAATATTTAGTCATTAGATCATGTGACCGCTAGATGGCGCTCAATTAAAAGGAGCGTTCATTTCAAAGGAGCGCTACCCTGTACTAAAATGGCGGCTCTATTGACGCATCCCTCCAATAGACAACATTAGGGCAGGCGACATCCAATGTATATTTCTATGGGAGCTAACTAGTATTTACGTCATATCGTGCTCAACTCTTATTACTCTTTTACGCTCTTTGAGAGTCTTGGCGGGATTTCAGAATGATATTTAGGCAATTATGAAGTAGCAGTACCGTCTGTGTACCATAGTTACACAATGCAGCATTTAGCTCGCTCGTAATCATCGCTGTCTGAGCAGAAGTTTTATCATTGGCCCTGACTGTCAGATGCTCTTCATCTCAGGAGCTGTATTTTTAGATGCTTGATAACAGATATAAGGTGAGTTATGGCTGGAGTGGACGCTGCCAGACGGGCTTTTTTATTCATTTTGGCATAACAGGAGCGAACAAGGATACTAAAGAGTGACAGAGTCCACAAAACTGCTCTCTGGATGCATTTCATTTGATGAATATTATCTTTTAGAGCTTCAAGTCTTGCCTCAGGTTATCTCAGTATTCATAGCGCTTCACTTTTTCCACATTCTTTAATGTTTCAGCCTGATTTGACTTTCAAATATTTTCTTAAAATTCTATACACTATTTAATTGTAAAAAAAAATATATTTTTTAAATTGTTGTAAAATGTATTAAAAATAAAAAACCTGAAAAATCACATGTATGTAAGTATTCACATCCTGGCGTAGTGGACGGGCCCGCAGGTGGTGGCAGCATCATGCTGTGGGGATGGTTTTCAGCAGCAGGAACCGGAAGACTAGTCAGGAAAGAGGGAAAGATGAATGCAGCAATGTACAGAGACATCCTACATAAAAACCTGCTTCAGAGTGCTCTTGACCTCAGACTGGGGCGACGGTTCATCTTCCAGCAGGACAATGACCCAAAGCACACCGCCAAAATATCAATGGACTGGCTTCACAACAACTTGGTGAATGTCCTTGAGTGGCCCAGTCCGAGCCCAGACCTAAATCCTATTGAACATCTCTGGAGAGATCTGAAAATGGCTGTACACCATCGCTTCCCATCCAACCTGAGCTTGAGAGGTACTGCAGAGAAATGGGCAACTATTCCCAAAGACAGGTGTGCCAAGCTTGTGACACCATATTCAAAAAGACTTGAGGCTGTAATTGCTGCCGAATGTGCATCAACAAAGTATTGAGCAAAGGCTGTAAATATTTATGTACATGTGATTCTTCAGGTTTTTTTTATTTTTAATAAATTTTACAACGATTTCAAAAAATATTTTTTTCACATTGTCATTATGGGGTATTGTGTGTAGAATTTTGAAAAAATAAATGAATTTAATCCATTTTGGAAAAAGGCTGTAACAAAAAAAATGTGGAAAAAGTGAAGCGCTATCAATACTTTCCGGATCCACTGCATACCACAGAAAAACAAAATATTGCAAATTCCCATATTGTGCAGCCCTAACCTTTAGTGTAGGGTGTTTCTTCTGTGGAAAGTTAATTAGAAGAGTATAAACACTCCCACATTATCAAATAAATCTGCACTGGCCTCCTGATATACTCCCTTTCAGACCACTGCAGAAAACCAAACACCAGAGGACACTTCACAACAGATCTCTGATCACGATGCTTCCTGCGGAGATAGAGAAAAGGACCGAAACAGAAACATCTCGACATTCTTCAAGATCTGCCCGGATAAAGAGAGAGCCATCGCCTTCTGCAAAAGAGAGAAAAACCAAAGCAGCCAAATCTGTGAAGCTCCAAGAGCCCCACAAAAGAAAAGAGAAACTAGTAACGACAGAAGAAGAAGAAGAAGCAAAAGATGCTCAGATCATCTCTAGCAGCACGGTTGTAAATGTAGACAGTGTGAGGGAACGGATAAAAGAAGAACGAGAGGAGTTATTAGCATTATTGGAGACTGAGGGACCTGGAGAAGGTAAGTCTAGACAGGGAAACATCTAAAAACGTTTAACTTTATACCATGTGGCTGTCGAATGCTTGATTCTGATTGGCTGATAAACACTCTAAGATGGTGTGCAATTATTTTTAGATAAACACATGGCTAAAGTTGTTTCAGACAACATTAGAGTTCCATATCACTACGCTGAATGGTTTCAGGTATTTCACAGCCTACAACCGTCAACATTAAAATGTAAATAAAACTAAAAGATTTGGCTGAGATGCGCAATAAAAAGAACTCTGACAAACGTATTGTTTTTAGTTGTGCTAGCTGTTGTATAAGTGAAATAATTGACAACGGTCTGTTAAATAATTAGAAAATAATGCACACCCAAGACATCGCCATCTAGGGGTGTGCTTTATTTTTTACCATAAAATAATGGACTTCCGAATTTGCAATGTCTTGGGTGTGTGTTATTTTCTAATAATTGAACAAACCAGAGTCAGTTATTAAAGAATAAGGCACACCTAAAACATTGCTAACTTGGGAGTGCATTGTTTTATTGTAAAAAATAAAGCAGACCCCTAGGTGGTGATGTCTTGGGTGTGCATTATTTTCTAATTATTTAATATTTTTTCTTATTATTGTAAAAAAAAAAAAAAGCACCCCCATAGGTAGCGATGTCTCGGGTGCATGTTATTTTCTAACAATTCAATATACCGAAGTCAATTATTCAAAAATAACATACACCAAAGAAATTTGGGTATGCATTATTTTTACCTATTATTTTAAAAATAAAGCTCATCCATAGGTGGCGATGTCTTGGGTGTGTGTCATTTCTAGTAATTCAACAGACCGGAGTCAAATGTTCAAAATTAACGCACAACCAAGAAATTGGCGACTTGATTCTGTTTTATTTTTCCTATTATTGTAAAAATAAAGCACACCCATAGGTGGCGATGTCTTGGATGTGCGTTATTTTCTAATAATTCAACAGACCAGAATCAATTATTTAAAAATAACACACACCCAAAACATCGCCAACTCGAATGTGCACTATTTTTCTTATTAGTGTAAAAACAAAGCACACACATAGGTGGCGATGTATTGGGTGTGCGTTATTTTTCAATAGTCCAACTGATCGGAATTAATTATTCAAAGATAACGCACACCTAAGTAATTGCCAACACGGGTGTGCATTTTTTTAATTATTATTGTAAAAATACAGCACACCCCTAGGTGGCGATGTCTTGGGTGTGCGTTATTTTCTAATAATTCAACAGACCAGAATCAATTATTAAAAAGTCACGCACACCCAAGACTTCGTCAACTTGGTTCTGCAATATTTTCCCTATTATTGTAAAAATAAAGCACTATCATAGATGGTGATACGTGTGATTTTCTAGTAATTCAACAGACCAGAGTCAATTATTAAAAAAATGACATACACCCAAGACATCGCCTACTTTGGTGTGCTTTTTTTTTTTAATTACTGCAAACAAAGTACTACCAAAGCTACACTGTAAAAAAAATCTGTATATTTCAGATTTTACGATCCGGAAAAAAAGTAAAATAACGCCGTTAAATTACAGAAATTTACTGTAAAATAACAGACATTAACTTTGTTATTTTACAGTAAATTTTTGTAATTTAACAGTAAAATTATACTATTCCTAAAACTATAATAAACTGTAAAATTACATATTTTTTTTACAGTGTAGCTATGTCTTGGGTGTGCACTATTTTCTTAGAATTCAAGACACCGGAGTCAATTATTAAAAAATAACGCACACCCAAGACATGGCCAAATCGGGTGTGGATTATTTTCCAATTACTGTAAAATTTAAGCACACCCATGGGTGGCGATGCCTTGGGTGTGTGTTATTTCTTGATAATCCAACAAATCAGATTTAGTTCTTAGAATATAGCACACACCAAAGAGGTCACTACCTAGGGGTGTGCTATATATTTTCCAATAATTCAATGACATGTCATTAAATATTCCTAAATATTTCTCTAAAGGCCTAAAGAAGAAATACCTTGGAGTTTGTGAGCTGCTTCTCATCGTTTTGGTCCTGTCAGTGGTCATCCTTTTCTTACCGATTTCAGTATGGTTCTGTGTGAAGGTATGATTTTGCTTTGGGATTAAATATTAGACATGATTCTAGATTTATTTTCACATCTCTCAAGCTCCCAAATATTATTTTGTAGATTGTGAGAGAACACGAGAGAGCTGTCAAATTTCGCTTGGGACATCTTTTGAAGAAGAGACCCAGGGGCCCTGGTACACGTTTTAAATCGCAAAATAACATATTAACATTACATATAACTGTGGTTTATGCTAGTTATGGGATCAGTCTCCTGGACTTTTATGCTGTAAATAATGTTATGTTCCACACAATTCCTTCATGTTGTCCCAAAACAAAATGATTAAGTTAACTTAATATTTTTCACATAAAAAAGTGGATGGAACATAAAACATATCAGTTGTTCCCATAAAAAAACTAAGGAATTGTGTTGTTTGAACTCATTTTAAATGAATAGTTTAAACAAGCAGCAAAAGTGTTTTTTTTTGAGTGTATAACGTGTTTAATTTGCTTCAGGGCTGATGTTTTATCTCCCATTTTTGGATGTGTGTCATATAGTGGACATTCGCTTGCAAATACTGAAGATTCCTCCTCATATGGTAATATATTTACATATTTTTTGCCTAAGAAAATAAAATGCCTCAACTGCATATTGTGAAAAATTTCTGAGTCCTTTAATAAAATGCTCTCTAAAAAGCTGACTATGATAAATTCCATCCCACTGATGCGACTATGTAAACACGAGGGAGGCAATGTACACCATTTTAAGAAAGCAGACAGTTTAGCAAGTCTGCCAAGTTTGTGTTTTTCCTACAGAATTTGTCTACTTTTAATCACTTGACAGTTTGACCACTTGTTTTCAGTGGCGGCTTCAGGCTTTGTGGGGGTTTACTAATTAGGGTGCCTAACATATTTATTTTGATAGCTTCAGTTGAACTGATTTGAGGTATAATTTCTTTCATATTCCATCCTCAGGTGGTGACCAAAGATCTGGTGTGTACAGAAGTGACTGCGGTGTGTTATTATCGCATTGAGAACGTCTCTGTGTGTTATTCCTCCTTCGCTAGCATTCCAGACGTGATGCAGGCTCTGACACAAGTATCTGTTCGAGAGATACTGGCCCATCATGCCTTCAATGACATTTTGCTGGACAGGAAACGCATTGCTCAGGAGATTCAGGTAAGAAACTGATAAGGAACCTCATTTGGACCTAAATTATTTGTTTTTTTTTATGAAGTTTTCCTTTGTTAAACAGGTCACTTTAGATTCCGGAACCTGCAGGTGGGGTATTAAAGTGGAAAAAGCAGAAATGTAAGTATCTAAATTTGTCTTAAAGGGATAGTTCACTCAAAAATTTAAATTTACTCTTACTCAAGTGGTAACAAGAGTTTCTTTCTTCTGTTGAATACAATACTTTCAAGAAAGCTGAAAACTGGTCACTATTAACTTTCATGGTAAAAACTAATATTATGGAAGTCAGTGGTTACAGGTTTGCAGCTTAATTCAAAATATCTTCTTTTGTGTTCAACAGAAGAAACTCAAACATTTTTGGAATAAGAGTGTTTAAATGATGACTGAAGGTTTCGTTTTTGGGGAGAACGGTCCTTTTAAGGAAATGTCCCCTCAGTTACTTATATATTGTGTTCACGGTTTCAGAGAAGAGATCAATCTTCCTCCAGAGCTGCAACATAACTTCGCTGTAGAAGCTGAAGCAAGACGTCAGGCACAAGTTAAAGTAAGGGTATTGGTGCAAAATGGGATTCAAATGTACAACATTTTGGTTCCACTTTTTTTTTTTTTTTTTTTGTAGATTGGATTAAATCTGTTTAAAAGAAAAAAATAAAATAAAATAAAAGTTCTGAATATGGAAATCTTGTTTCTCATTTTGGTCAAAAAACACTGGATTATTCTGATCTGTGATAAGCACAGCGCTGATACAACCGCCGTCTGCTACAGTATTTGTCTAGCCTCTTTTTATTTTGCTACTGTGCTAGTGGGCAGGGCTGCAGGTTTCATTTTTCCCCGGTTTGCGTGCAACGACTGGGCGGGGCTTAAGTTTCGTATCCACATCACGCCCAAGCAGCAAAAGAGTTATCAAGACGATTCATTTGAAGTACTAGGAGTCGACTCTTTTATAAATGACTTAATAGTTTTAAACACTGTCCACTTTCAGATTCAAGCCTTAGTTGGATATTTCACTTCACTTAGAGCTGTGTTACACACTACATAAAAGGTCATTCTCAAAAACCCATAATTTGGGGCTCTTTAACCACAGATCCTTCTGATCCAGATTAACCTTTTTGAACAACTTGCCCCTTATCATCAACCAAGCTATTTAAGCATTTATTTGGTCGTGTCACAGGTGATCGCTGCAGAGGGAGAAAAGGCTGCATGTGAGGCTCTGAAGGCATCTGTAGAGTCTGTCTCTGGCTCTCCTCTGGTCATGCATCTTCGACTCCTCCAGCTCCTACACAGTCTACGCTCTGAGCAGCCCGCCGTGGTCCTCAACATACCACCTGATGTCCTGACCCAATCCATCGACCTCGCCAGTTTGACCAGACCTGCTAATCAAAGCATGACCACATGTCACGGCTCAGATGATGGAACCAAAGACTCACCCATGATGTAAAGACAATGTTACTGTTCATTTATATGACTTAAGTTATTTTTGGAATTCACTGTATTTCAAGACTGTACTGATTATTGGCTGATATTCTACATTGTTTAAATTTATTGGTATTGGTTGACGGATTTCCTTCGCATCATCTAACAATGAAATATAATTTCAAGTTTAATAGTAAAGTTTTCAAAAAATATCCTCTATTTGTAACCTCTAAAGAACAATCTCCTAAATCAAATAAAAAATGTGCATTATAAATAAAGATACTGTATCTCAAAAGATTTGGCTGTAAATAGTTATATATATAGAGTGATCTTTTGTTTGCTACCGATCTACTTCAACAAATTATCATAATCATGCAAAATACGAACACTCTGAAATGGCCGTTTGTTTCCGACGCAAATTCATACAGAAAGACCAATCAGAACAGACCTGGCCAGCTGACAAATCAGAGCAGAGCTGACTTATAGAGGGGAGGGGTTTACGTGAGGTATCTAAAGAGCGCCAGGAGGTGCGCAATGTATCTGAAGAGCAGGAAGGGATTCCAGGAGTTTGTCATTTGTTTGCGGGCATCCGGGAGTCTCTATGGATTTGTGGGAGACTCCCGGAACTTCCGGGAGGCTTGGTAGGGGATCTAACACAATATTGGAATACTTTAAAATACCATAAAATCTGCTCTTTAAAACAATCCCGCTAACAAATTTATATGTGCAATAAAAATCAAATACATATGTCTATTAAGCACTTTATTATTGAGCCCCAGTATAGTTTTTTCACATTAAGCGTTTCTTGGTTCCTCTGGACAGTTTCGGGCTGGATTCAGGGTTCTGGCTTTTTGTTTTAGCTTCAGAAGTTGCGACAGGTTTGCTGGGGGTCTTAGGGGCATTCTTCTTGCTTGCTGTAAAAAAAAACATATAGTCAGAATTAGAAATAGCTAATCTTGTTCAGTATGTCAAGTGTAATTTTATTCTTTGACACATTTACACTTGGTCTCCACACTGGGCCGAGCTTGTAGCTGCCTCTCCAGATCTTGTATCTTATCCAGAGCAGCCTGCAGTTCTTCCTCTGCCTTTAATGCACGCACCTCTGAATTGATAGCTCGAGTCTCTACCGCTCTGCAAAATACAGTTCATAAGAGATTCCTATAGATCTGACTAAAGAGAGATTTCCATTCGAATACTTACAGAAGCTCTTGCTGAAGGGTTCTGATTGTTTCTAAAGAACTGAAGGCATCTTGGGCTTTTTCGGTGTGTGGAGTAATCACCAGTTCTTCAGTCTAGAAAAGATTAGATTTTACATTTAATTGTTTAGCAGACAGTTTTATCCAAGTGAGGATAAAAAGCATGTCAACTCATCACAGATTTGAAAAACATATATTCTATGACAAGCTATTTATTAATTTGTTTCCCTTCAATCATACAGAGAAAAGACAGTGTGTCCTACAGGTGGTTTGTCAAGCCCGCTCACCTGTGTGAAGCACATCGAGAATTGCACAGTGTTTTCCAGGAAGTATGTGGTGCTTTTAAGAAAGTGTCTGGTGCATATGGAGAGAAACAGAGTGTGACTCCTACAGGTGGTTTGTCAAGCCCACTCACCTGCATAAAGCACACTAAGAACTGGGAGTTTTATTTACAGAAACATTGGGTGTGTTTAAAAGAAAGAGATTGTGTCCTAAAGGTGGTTTGTCAAGCCCACTCACCTGTGTGGAGCACACTCAGAATTGCACAACATTTTTCACAAACATGTAGTGTTGATAAGAAAGTGTCTGGTAAATACAGAGATGAAAGATTGTGCATGCGGGGAGGTTTTGATGATTATCGTCTTATACTGGGAAGCTGATGGATATGATCACGATACACTCACCCCTTTAAGTTGGACAGTGTCCTCTCTTAAAGTCTTCTCTGTGATATTTCCATCATGACCTATCAGTTTGATGACTGAGCCATCTTTGTCATGTTTGCCGGCCTTTTCCTCCTCCTGCAGAGGTGATAAGGTGCTGTTATTTGATGTTATTCCATGGACACAAGGTAGCTAATAGCTTATAAGAATAACAAAAGTTACATATTCATCATAAGGCTCATTTGCATCTTCCAAGTCCAGTGGTTCCTCTTTTTCAGTATGTTCCTCTGATTGTTCCTTGGGCTAAGAAAATATACAAATTAGTTTCTCACATTTACATAATACAGTTGTACTCTACCAGTGTCCTAGATGATGTCACTCACAGAGCGTGGCACCACTTTTCCATTCAGCTTCAACTCTGCAGAGCTTCCTTTCACGTCCATAAGTAGTAACCGGCAGGCCTCCAACCATTCCCCACACTCTTTCTAAACACAAACACAGTGTAAATACACTAAGGCGTTTTTTAATGCAGGATTTCAATCTCAGAAAGAAACCTTGAAGGACTAGAGAGATAGCTATGCACCTGAAGTTTGGCTAGTTCATACAACTCATTTTCGGTTTCATCCTGGTTTGAGCTCTTCCTGATGACCTCTTCTATTATAGCCTGACAAGAGCTACAGGACAATTTGTGTAATAAGTTTCTGCTTACTTATGGATCCTCTTGAGATGTTTAATTTAGTATGGCTACCTTGTGATGTACTTGGAAAAGTAGTCCAGCTTGGTTGAGATGTTCCTGGCATCTTCCTCCAGTTTTTCAACAGACACATTGACTACAATGTTCAATTCGGGTGCTGGAAGAAATGGTTCCTGGTCATCTGAATGGATGGGAACCATTAGCAGAAGAAGGTCCACCATCCAGTGGATCATCTTATTGTGAAGTGAAGTTACCTGCAAGCAAAAGGCAAGATTAGGACAGGGACATGGAACAGTCCTGCTCCTGGAAGTTAATCTTTCTAAAGAGCTCTCTTCAATTGTTAGTAAAAACCTTTGAACCAAGTAGCGAACTGGGTCCAAATTTGCATACTATCTCCTTAGGCTTCTGCAACAATCCTACCCTAAACCATGATTTATGACAATCTTTCCCAGGTCTGGTCCATCTAAACTCTGAAGGAAGGTGACTGTCAGTAACAGGAATTGACTGAAACTGAGGCATTATGGTCTGGTGTGTACCTCATCTCGAAGTCTCATATTTTCACAGTCGAAAAAGTTTTCTTGAGAAAACAGGAACTCCTTCATTGTCTTTAAAACATCCTCCATTTCAATTCTGCCGCAGATACAAACAAGGAAATTAGCTGTCAGACACATCAATGAAGTTTTGTTTTTTACATATTTTGTTGCAAATTTGGGTTACAGTTAGGGTCGCTAATGAGGGTCCATTTTGATTAGGATGCAAATGTAGGCAGTAAGGTGTTTTACTATAATGTTTGGCCCATGCACCTCTCTTACTTTATGTGGGGTATGTTTTTCCCCCTGTCTTGTTCTGACTGTGTGCTGTCCACTAGCAGAAGAGCCTCCTCGGAGAGATTCACCAAGCTGCCAAGAGCTTCCTTCAACTTAAGCCAATCACCCAAAGCCTGCTCTTTTGGAGGTCCACTCAAGGGGTTTAATATTCTTGACCAGGACTCCATAGTGTCAATAAGAAACATTAGCATTGCATGGATTCCTGCAAAAACAACAAGTTTTCATCTTGAAACCATTCAAGGCTACATGAGGAAACAAAAATCTAAGTTCTCACCACTTTCTCCATTGATACGTATTCCTAGTTGACTCAGAAACTCAGTGATGGTCCTTTTTAGCCCCCTCATGGCTTCCTGGCCTTTAGGAGGCCCTCCATCTGGACCAGTGTGTCTTTTAAAGAGGTCCAGACAAACCTCAATCCAAGACTCCTGTAGTTTTTTTAGCAATTCAAGTGTTTCCTGACCAGATACTAGGTCTTCCCCTCCATAACGTTCACACTGCTGTGTCAACACCTACAGTTGAACAAGGATATCTATTATTTATACATTTAACATGGAAAGTGAAACAATTTAACAAAAGATAATTGAGTAAACAAAATGTAAAGGTATTGCTAACTTTTGACCATTCTCTCAGGTCTTGTGACAGCTCTTCATCTGATGACTTGTCAACTTTCATAGTTGGGTGCCTTTAGTACAACAAGAGATTAAAATCATTAAAAACGCTTTAAAAATACAAAGAAAAACTGTATTTCTTTTACTGACCTGGATTTCTCTTCAAAGAATTTCTGCCACTTCACAATGTTGGAGTGGAAAGACTTAATGATCTCACGTTGTTTGTTCTCAACCCGTATGAGGTTCTGCATGAAATTGGCCAGTGTATCTTTCCACCGGTTGGTCAAGTCCATGATATGGGAAAAGTACTCAGAGTCCTATGAATTAAAGATTTAGTATTTAGCTTACTAAAAAATCTGGACCTGTCAGTGACTCAAAATCCTGCTGTGTGAAAAAGAGTTAAAAAAAAACATTGCAGATGACCTACAGCTAATGAGAGTGCAAGATACAGGGTAGCGTGGAGTTCATGGAGGAGTTGTAAACCACTATATCAGAAAACATGGCTTCGGTTTTAAGAAAGGCTCCTTTTTGGACACAAGAAATGGTGGAAAGTTTGGGAAAAGTTTAACAGAAGCACCCATGCCTTTTTGATGTTTTGTCTGAGATGTACCACAATGGGCAACCATTCCCAGTCTCAAGCCAGAACTCGGATCTCATGTGTAATGTTGTTTGTGTGCTAGACAGAGTTGTCTGCAATTCTTCCTACAGCAAAGTCAAGCAGTGTGTAATGTTCTTGTGCCAATCCATTGTGCAATGTGAACACAGCAGCAACTCAATGCTACCCCAGAGAGTCATGCAGTGCGAAAACCGTGGCGATCAGACGGTTATGAAAATCATGCAGTATGAACTTGGTATAAGGCTGGGGTTTTCAACTTCAAGTTTCCTACAGAGTTTATCTCTAATCAAACACTTAAACAAGCTAATTAAGGTGTTCCAGGCTTACTAGAAAACTAAAACATGTTAGAAATTGATCAGGATTGAAGATAAGCTCTGAAAAGTGTATGTTGAGAGCCATAGTTGAGAAGCCTTGTATTTGTGTTTTTACCTTCGCTGTTAAGAAGAAAGTGAACCGATCTGCAGCCTTGGCCCAGGTCTGCTCACTTATATGAAGTCGCCTGACCAGATGAAGTTTATTTATCTTGATTATCTGAAAGAAATTTGTTAGAGATTTAAACTCAAACCTATTTTTTGTTGTGGGGTAATGTGTAACTTGAAAAGCTCCTACAACAAATTTTACAAAAGGTCACCTTGACCGCAAGACTGTAGGTCGCTTTTCTCCAAAGGTCCCTTTCGCCATCTAAATGGGACATCTGTCCTTCAAGTCTCTTTCGCTGTAGCTCATAGAGTTCATGGTACTCTGCTACAATACTGATGAGAAGTCACTTTATTTCAGGTTACAGTAGCTATGTTTCTATCTACCTCCTTTTATGAGCATTTTGGAATATTGCATAAAAATTGCTTAATGATAATATTAACTTTTATCCAAGAAGAATACATGCAGCAAATTTAATTTTTTTTCAGTTGATCAAGAAGTGACCATTTTGTTCTCTTTGACTCATTGGATTGAAACGGTGCTTTTTTCACAGATGTTTTATGCAATAATTCCGTTTTGTGAATAGGTCTAATTGGCATCTTTGGATGGAAACATAGCTAGTTAAGCACTTTGTATACAAAGATTAAGAGGTTTTAATCACCAATTTACGTACTTTGCATTGCGTTGTGACTCTTCCAAAGCTTTAGCGAGCTCCTCCTTGGCTTCCTCTGCCTCTTTGGACACATTCTCATCATGTACTTTCATAGCACTCAGCTCCCTTTTACAGGTTGAACAGACAAGTTTGAAATGCAAAAAAAAATCACGTTTCATTGGCAATTAGATAGTATATCAAGCATACATATTAAGCGATGCTATCGAGTTTTTGAAGTGTAGGATCTCTTCAGTGAGCCGGCGGTCCAGAGCCCTCTGTGCTAAGGTTTGTGTGTGAAGACCCTTCACCTGTCGTGGGATACGGTCAAGTAGAGCCACATACTTTTGCCTAGCCAAGAAAAAGAGGAAGTCATACATATATACAATAGATATTGCAAACAGACCATGAGCAGCATGTGTTAATTGCGCCACCACATTTGTAAAGTACTTCCAGGACAAATTACATTCAACCGCACTAGTCAAGAGTAAAGCCAATCTGAAGATTCTTGATTTTGCGCCATGTACGAGTGTGGTAATGAGCAAACAAAGAAAACAAAGCATAAAGGCACAACATTCAATAGGTAAGATTTCATTTTTTTAACAATTTTGTACATTACAAACTTTTGTGCAGAACAAGTATTGATGATAATACAGTTTCTTACTGCACTGACCATAAGGCATAGTAGCACCAACTCACAGTAAAAACTAGGCTTATGCTATTTTTGTTGAATAAAATTAGCAAACAATGCAAATGAAATATGACAACAAGATTCTGCGGTGCTAGAAACCTGCATTATTATTCGCTAATTGAAGGACTCTTTCATATCTAGGATTCATTCACAAACTAATCACTCTCTGTTAGAATAAGAAATGAAAGCAGGAGAGGAGAGATTAGATCAAATTTAACAGGGAGGGAGGATAATACATTTCCATGCACACAAACACATGCTCTCTGTCGGCAATGCCTGTGCGGTCACTTGTCCTTCGATGTAAAATAGTGATGTAATATGATCATTTCAGTAATTTAAAAACCTATTTGTATACTGCTCCTCCATGAACCACCACCTTATCGTGGTGGAGGGGTTAGAGTGCCTGAGTGATCCTAAGAGCTATGTTGTCGGGGGCTAATGCCCCTGGTAGGGTCTCCCAAGGCAAAAAGGTCTTAGGTGACAGGTCAGACTAAGTGCGGTTCAAAAACCCCTTATGAGTTTCTTAACATTGAGGACTGTTGCCCGGTATGGCACAGCCAAGGAGTGACATAGGACCATCCTCCTTCAGGACCACCACCTGCAGGGGGAGGACTGGTGCATTGTGGAACGGGTGGTGGTCGAAGGTTAGGACCATGACAACCCAATCATCAGACACAGAAACTGGCTCTTGGAACATGGAATGTCACCCCACTGGGAGGGAAGGAGTCCGAGGTTGTCCAGGAGGTGGAACGGTACCGAACAGAAATAGTTGGGCTCACCTCCATGCACAGCTGGGGCTCTGGAACTCAACTTCTTGAGAGGGGCTGGACTTTCTTCTACTCTAGAGTTGCTCACAGTGCGAGGGGGCGGGCTGGTGTGGGCTTGCTTATAGCTCCCCAACTTAGCCACCATGTGTTGGAGTTTTCCCCAAGAACGAGAGGGTCGCTTCCCAGCGCCTTCGGGTCAGGGATAGGTCTCTCACTGTGGTTTGTACCTACGGGCCAAACACCAGTGCAGAGTACCAGGCCTATTTGGAGTCCTTGGGAGGGGTGCTGGAAGGTGCTCAGACTGAGGGCTCTGTTGTTCTACTAGGGAACTTCAATGCTCATGTGGGTAATGACAGTGATACCTGGAGAGGCGTGATTGGGAGGAACGGCCTCCCTGATCTGAATCCGATTGGTGTTCTGTTTTTGGACTTCTGTGCTAATCACAGTTTGTCCATAACTAACACCATGTTCAAGCATAAGGGTGTCCATCAGTGCACATGGCACCAGGACACCCTAGGGCGGAGGTCAATGATTGAATTTGTGGTTGTATCATCTGATCTCCGACCGTATGTCTTGGACACTCATGTAAAGAGAGGGGAAAAGCTGTCAACTGATCACCACCTGGTGATGAGTTGGATCCGCTGGCAGGGGGGAAAGCTGGACAGACCTGGCAGGCCTAAACGTATTGTGAGGGTCCTTTGGGAACGTCTGGCTAAACCTCAAGTCAGAAGGATTTTTAACTTTCACCTCCGGAAGAGCTTTGACCAGATCCCGAGGGACGCTAGAGACATAGAGTTCTCCAACTCCATAGTTGATGCGGCCATGATGAGCTGTGGCCGTAAGATCTGTGTTGCCTGTCGTGTTGGCAATCCACGAACCCAGTGTTGGACACCAGAAGTAAGTGATGCCGTCAAGCTGAAGAAGAAGTCCTACAGGGCTTGGTTGGCTTGCAGGACATCCGAGGCAGCTGATGGGTCTCGATTGGCCAAGCGTGTTGCAGCCCGGGCAGTTGCAGAAGCAAAAAGACTAGATGGAGAAAGCCAATCGGTCGGCCCCAAAAATATTCTGCAAAACTGTCCGGCACCTCAGGAGGGGAAAGCAACTCCACATCGACACTGTTTACAGCGGAAGTGAGGAGCTGTTGACCTCAACTGGGGATGTTGTCGGACGATGGAGAATACTTTGAGGATCTCCTGTATCCCACAGACATGTCTTTCATTAAGAAAGAGACTGGGGATGCAGGGGCGGACCCACTCATCACCCAAGCTGAGGTCAAGTTTGCAAGCTCCGCATAGGCAATGCAGCGGGGGTGGATGAGATTCACCCTGTGTATCTTAGGTCTCTGGATATTGTGGAGCTGTCTTGGCTGACACGTTTCTACAATATTGCATGGAGATTGGGAACAGTACCTTTGGACTGGGCAACTAAGGGTGGTGGTTTTCAAGAACGGGGACCGGAGGGTGTGCTCCAACTATAGGGGGATCACACTTCTCAGCCTCCCTGGGAAAGTCTATGCCAGGGTATTGGAGAGGAGAATCAGGCCGATGGTTGAACTAAGAATTTAGGAGGAACAATGCGGTTTTCGTCCAGGCCGCAGTACACTGGACCAGCTTTATACCCTCACCAGGGTGCTCAAGGGTTCATGGGAGTATGCCCAACCAGTCCACTTGTGTTTTGTGGACTTGGAGAAGGCATTTGACTGTGTCCCTCGTGGCACTCTGTGGAGGGTGCTCTGCGAGTATGGGGTCAGAGGTGCTCTGTTGAGAGCCGTCTCATCCCTGTATGAACAGAGTAGGAGTTTGGTTCGCATTGGAAGCAATAAGTGAAACTTGTTTCCAGTGCATATTGGACTCCAGCAGGGCTGTCCTTTGTCACCAATTCTGTTCACAATTTTTATGGACAGAATTTCAAAGCGCAGCCTTGGGCTAGAGGGGGTCTGGTTCGGGGACCACAGGATCTCAGCTCTGTTATTCGCAGAGAATGTTGTTCTGTTGGGTTCATCGAACATGGACCCTCAGCATGCACTGGGGCGGTTTGCTGCTGAGTGTGACGCGACTGGTATGAGAATCAGCACCTCCAAGTGCCGAACCCATGGTGCTCCACCGGAAAAAGGTGGTTTGCCATCTCCAGGTTGAAGGAAAGTCCTTTCCCCAGGTGGAGGAGTTCAAATATCTTGGGGTTTTGTTAACGAGTGAGGGAAAGATGGAATGTGAGATTGCAGGCAGATTAAAGCAGCGGCCGAGTCATGCTTTAGGTCATGACTGAAAGGACAAGATCTCGGATAAAAGCGGCCGAAATGAGTTTCCTTCGCAGGGTGGCAGAACACAGCCTTATAGATAGGGTGAGGAGCTCTGTCACCCGGGAGGAGCTGGGAGTAGAGCCACTGATCCTCCACATCGAGAGAAGTCAGCTGAGGTGGCTCGGGCATCTGTTTCGGATGCCTCCTGGATGCCAACCTAGGGAAGTGTTCCAGGCATGTCCCACCTGGAGTAGGCCTCAGGGAAGACCCAGGACACGCTGGAGGAACTATGTCTCTCGGCTGGCCTGGTAACGCCTCTGGGTCCCTCTGGAGGAGCTGGAGGAAGTGTCTAGGGAGAGGAAAGTCTGGGGTTCTCTCCTAAGACTGCTGCCCCCGTGACCCGGTTCCGGAAAAACAGTTGAAATGGAATGAATGAATGAATTTGGATACTGACCGCAGGAAAAACTCCTTATCATAGATATATGTATATATATCATCATCGCTTTGAATGGCCAGCAGCTACCCTGTACTAAAATGGCAAGTCTATTAACGCATTCCATCCAATAGACAACAATAGTGTATGCGACATCTTATGTCAATATCAATGACAGGTATTAAGATCACTTTATAATGAAAAGCCATGAAAAAAAAGAGTAAACGGGGATAGAGACCTGAGCTTGGCGAGGAGTTGACCTCTCTCTGCACATTCAACGCTGACCTGCCGGATTACCTCATGAAACACTATATTGTAGATGTTCTGCTCAGTTTGAATCAGCTCTAGTAAATTTTCGATCTGAAAAATAATATAGAAATACATTTGTATTTATGTAAATCATTATGTTTAGTCACAATTATACGTGTATATATATATATATATATATATATATATATATATATATATATATATATATATATATATATATATATAAAAGGGGTGCACAATATATCAGTGGCCACACTATCAGCCAATAAATGCTATTTTTTATTTTACTATTATTGGTCCAAAAAAATTAGGCCTATAGCTTAAAGCCGATAAATTAAGCATTATTTGGATTATGCTGGTGCAATCACTTCACATTAAAATTATTTTACTGGTATTTTGATGTTGGTTAATGTTCAGTTAGTTGCTTTTTGCATGTTTTTTTATATATAAATAGAAAAGGATAGTTGACTAATAAAGTTCAGAGATCAGTTCAAACTTTTCCGATATTTTAAAGTTATATAATAAGATTAGTTGTTCACTTTTTGTTTGCCTTATGTTTTTGAAACCATGCAGACATTTTTGAAAAATTGGTATTTGTATTTATATATTATAATCTAAAAAGCTATTGGTATTGGTCAAAAATTCCATAGCTGTGAATGTCTAATAATTGTTTTAAGTGAAAAAAGTCATGTAATAACACCAAGTAAAACTTCAGGATTTTCATTCTGTATATTATTTTTGTACATCATTAATTTATACATTGCATTTTTACCATTAAAAAAACTAAAAAACAAACCTGTGAGATTTCTGTTAGCTCCTGAAACTCTTCATTGACACCTGCTTTTTCTAACATCTTATCCATCACCTTCATTAACTGAACCACCTCAAGACGACCGCTTGGCTTCCTAGTGATGGTTTAGAAAATTGCATAAATATTAATATCAGTCATTTTAAATAGATAAAGAAGGAATAAATTACTTCCTAATAATTGCTTAGATAATATTATAAATATTTATTATTAAATATAGTTTCTATGATAAAATGTATATAATTCCAATTGTAAACACATATAGTTTCTAGAATATGATAAAACCATTAAACATTTATTTATTAACATACATATGACTTCCTCCTACTTGTAGTTTATACATATAATTAATATAAATAAACATTTATAAAACAAAGACATTCCAGCCACTCACATGGATGGAAAGACTCTTAGCTTGTTTTTCTCATCTTCTAGAAGAACTGTGAATTTGCTATAAAAAAATGTGAATAAACAGAGCCAAGATTCATATACAGTCACTGTAACACAACAAGACAGCTGTTCTTACCATCTAAAGCAGACTCACTTACTCATCATAGCATTGTAATCCCTTAAGACCCTTGTTTTTTATGATGTGATATTCTTCTGGGATTAAAGTTTCCAGTGGATTTGTGTCCTTCAACCAAAAACAAACAAACATGAAGTTACAAGCACAAAAAACAGAGTATCAAATTCAACTTATTCTCTTGTCACTTGCATTGTGGTCTCCATGATGCAGAGCAGATCTTCGATTGGCCATTGGAATGACAGGTAAAGCGTCCTTTTGAGACCCCAGACAATCACACAGGAAGGAAATGTCTCTGTTCAGATCCAAACAAAGACAGTCAGCCGGACAATATCTCAGTGTATTATAAATTCTCTGTGTATAAATTCCAGAGGGCACCTTGATGGCTAAACAACTTTTAAAAAAGCGTCAATAATTTTAATCAATTTGATGTCAAATTGCCATCAAAAACACACCAAACATAGTTTTTGTTTTTGAAAAATCTATTTGTGACGCGTTTTTTAGACATCAATGTAGTATACATGCAATGTAGGGATACAAAAAACTTTATTATAATTAAAAATCACAAAATTCTCAAAATACTTTTTGTTTTATTATTTTGGTGGACAAAAGAGCATCAATGTATACATGTCAAATATACATATCAACATTTTGACGTCCAATTGATTTGCATTTTTGATGTTTTTTTTTTTTTTTATGTTTTTTGCTTTGACATCAAGGTGCCTGCTGGGATGTACACTAGCCAGCCACTTTTTAAGGTACACCTATTTAACTGGTTGTTAATACAAATATCTGGTCAGCCAATCACCAGCATTTAGATGTGGTCAAGATGATCAGATTCAAACTAAGCTGCGTATAGAGCCCCAATACGCAGCCAATATAGAAAATGAATCACAGGTAAGGCCCCCCTCACAAGAGTTTTATGTCAGAATCACAAACGTAAATTTGATAAACATGAACGAAAACTCTGGCAGCGCAATGTAAACTGCGTTTATCAAAAGCGAAGCAGAAAGTGAACCAAACTAATAATAATTTATTTGAAAACAGTGTTTTTTTTTTGCCATTTGATTGGTTTTGTATTTTTCAAGTGTTTTTTTTATTTGGTAATATATAGTTGTGTTAGATTTAAAAAAACATTGTGCGTTTTATTTGGCACAAATCTAATTCCATATGTACAGAGTAGTACTGGCAAAGTGTACCTAAAAATAAGTGAGCGGTTAGTATATTTGTAATGTGTAATGATTCCTTCCAAACCGTCCAGCTCCAGTCAGAGAAGTCGGCTGGTTGAGAAAGTATTGGTATTTCTTGCGTCTAACGGGATGGTGCCACACAGCATCAGGACGATGAATTAAACAAACCTGCCGAAAGATAACAACAGCCAATTTAGTAACTACACTCTTAAAAATAAAGGTGCTTATGGGCATTAATGGTTTCATGAACAACCTTGTAACATCCACAGAACCTCTCCATCTCAAAAAGATACTTTGTTATGAAAAAGGGACACTAGATAATTAAAATCTGCATCACATACATACTTGCTTCGATGGTTTATGAGGACTCTACATTGGCGAGATGTAGTTTAGAATAAAAAGAATGCTTATTATATTACCTTACACTACCACTAATCCTCACAGGAAACGTGTGGTGAATTTTCAATGTGCTAAATATCATTTCTAACCATTTTGAATATCAATGTTGTAATAACTAGTCACCTGTTATTCTCATAAACCATCAAAACTAGTACACACACATGCACACAAATAGTTAATTTAAGAACTGTTCACTGAAAAGTTCTTTAGGGGAACCAAAATACTTTCTATGGCATCACTGTGACAACTTTTCAAGAGATTTCAAGACCTTTATTTTTAAGATTGCAGAAATAAATTGAAAGGGAAATATATCCAAGGGCCACGAACCTTGAAGTCTTTGGGAGTTTTGGTTAATCTGAGTGGTGCGAGTCTGTCTTGAGGACACGCGGTGGATGTTAAAGTTGCAAGGAGTTCATCTGGAATTAAATCATTACAGTCCTGCAGGCTGCTTTTGTCTTTTATAGGTGTCTTTTCTCTCGCCCGAGGAAGCTCTGCCACCACTAGACCAACAACACAAATACAGTTTGGATAAATTGTGAGCTGAAACATTCAATGGATATAGGTTATTTATTAGGATGAGCAAAATGTTTGTGCTAAACATCAAAATAGAAATGTTTGTGAATGTTAATAAATGTCAAAAAGTTGAAGATGAATAAGCTATTAAAATTATGTTTAACAGAAAAATGAATGTGACAAACATTACAAATGACAAGTAAAACTTAGTATACATGAAATAAATGCACTTGATGTTGGTGATATAAACAATAACAGATAGAGAAACAAATAGATAGACAGATAGCCTGACAAATGGATGGACAGACATACAGACAGATAATGATAAATAACGTTAGATAATGATAGACAGACAGACAGTGATAACATTAGATGAGACAGACAGACAGACAGACATAGATAGATAGATAGATAGATAGATAGATAGATAGATAGATAGATAGATAGACAGACAGACAGACAGACAGACAGACAGACAGACAGACAGACAGACAGACAGACAGACAGACAGACAGACAGACAGACAGACAGACAGACAGACAGACAGACAGATAGATAGATAGATAGATAGATAGATAGATAGATAGATAGATAGATAGATAGATAGCTAGCTAGCTAGCTAGCTCACAGTTAGCAGTGGATGTCCTGGTCCTGTAACTCTCGGGTTTTGCTCGGTCAGCAGGAGGGTTCGGGCTGCACTTCAGCGACATACTGACACACTGCCTACTCTCACTGGACACTGTTCACCATTCAGTAACCGCGGAAAAGACGCAGACACGCTAAACCCCGACAAATTCTGCCATATGCCGTTTCCCTCCAGACAGAGCAATGAAGTTTACCCCTGCGCTTAAGTAGCTCCAAAACAGCGGCTAATAAAAGTTTGTTGCCATGGACGCGTCGCGTCTCTAACGTCACTTTCCACAGTTACAGAAACATTCGAGTCGAGACTCAGAACTATTAGACGACACTGTTTTTTTAATCGGCAATAGAGGATCCTCCTACTGAGAAATGAGAATTTGAAATATTCATAAGCTGTCTTATTAATACTTCAGCAGGCCACCGATACCATGGCTGCCAAACAAACGTGTGAGTTTAAGGTGTACATGAGGAGAAAGAGAGAAGCCCCGAAATGGTTAATGGATAATAATACTGTTGTTCTTCACTATCTATCTATCTATCTATCTATCTATCTATCTATCTATCTATCTATCTATCTATCTATCTATCTATCTATCTATCTATCTATCTATCTATCTATCTATCTATCTATTTATCTGTCTGTCTGTCTGTCTGTCTGTCTGTCTGTCTGTCTGTCTGTCTATCTATCATCTGTCTGTCTGAAAATAATATACCTGTGTGTATAAATATATAAATACAATTATATAGGCTAATAAACATGATAAAAATGCATAAACTTAAGATAATCTTTATCAGTTTTACAAAACATTAAATAATTGTTATTATTAACTGAACAATGATAATAAATAAACACCATTAAAATATAAAAGTGATTTAATAAAGAAACAGTTAATAAAATGAAACTGAAACAAAAACAAATTACAAAGAACACAAAAGATAAAGAATTCTACTGAATAAATAATAATAATACATATATTACATAAGTATAACATGCATTATTAGAAACAGAAGGTGCTTGTAAAACTGCTCAAATGGTTAAAGAAATAAAAAAATACAAAATACACAAGTACAAAAATGGTAACTAATAAAATAAAAAATAATAAACAAAATGTCAAAAAATGCATAAAAATGACTAAAATTTAAACTGAAAATAAACTGAAAATAATTTTACAAATTAAATGATGATTATAATAATAGTAATAAATCAAGTAAATAATTTGATATGATAAAAATATTACAAATTAAAAAAATGGGAGCTAAAAATAAATGATTAAAACAAATAACAAAGAAAACATTAATATTTTGCATATATATGCATACATGAATAATAATAATAATAGTAATAATACACAATACAAAAGTAACACACTTTTTAAACAAAAACTAGAGAACATATTAGTTTCTAATAACATTCTTTATTAAAATGAACATTTCATAATTAATCAGCTAAACATACATTATTACCATTAAAAAGATCTTCAATAAATCCAGCTACAGTATTTTCAGTCTATATGTGTTTGATATGCATGTATATTTTCCCCTGATAATCTAATATACATCATGTAGATATTAATCTGTAGCTTAATACACAAGGTAAAATCTGGATGATAAAATGTCACCTGATGAAATGCCTTTATGTATTTTCCATCATATCAGGATTTTGTGGTAGGGGTGCAGATGGAGTGAAGATGTGAAAGCGCGGATGTCTGTTATCATGGTGGACTTCTCCTTCATGGCCGCCGCTGAGAGGAAAGTGAGTTTGGAAATATTTGCATATGAAGAAGTCTCTGGGTTTGAACTGCACTGGTCTTCTCCATGGATTTCCTTCTCTTCTTCTCCGAATCCAACGACCTGAATGGATCCACAGAGTCATTAGGTGGATGTTAATGTAAGGATTAAGCATTTTCTGATTAAAAATGTATTTTGTGACATTGTAAGAATTGAATGCTATACATGTATGCTTAGTTTTCTACTGTTTTCTTTTCGGTGCTCCATGTAAAATGATACGAGTTCATCTTTGGTGACGTCTTTCAGGATTTCAATCTGTTCGACAGAGGAACACACAATAATGAATGAACATATTCTCCAATAATGCTGAATCAAGAACACGTAGAGATAAACCCAAATAAAAAAAATTCTAGCTGATATACAAAAAAATTTATTTCTAAGATTATGAATTAAATTAAACATATTAAGACTAACCAAAAATGTTGGTCATGTGGCACAAATATATAAAAGAAGGACCGCCATATTCTCCCCAGAGGATGACCTTGCACAGATTATTTTTTCACCTAAAGAATAACCATTTTGATTCCACATGATCTGTGGAAAAATGCTGGGTTTTTACAATTTTAAGCTGATTGGACATTAAACAATTAAATTGTCCCAAAAAAACTAAAGAATTGTGATGTTTCAGCTCATTTTAAATAAGTAGTTTGAACAAGCATTACAAATATTATTTGAGTTTGGATTTTAACTAAGAATGTACACTGAAAAAAATTATTCAAAGATGATTCCTTGGATTTACTAAATTGTTTTACCTTAAGTGGTTGTAAACAATTTATTTGGGCTGAATTTAAACAAACAAATTAAGTTGAACGTTATTGAACTTAATTTGTTTGTTTAAATTCAACACAAATAAATTGTTTGCAACAGTTCTGCATGCAACACTTTTTTCAGTGAATAACACACTACCACAAATTACAAGTAACATGTATTAAACATTATTCAGATTTCTCACTTCTTTATTGAGCCTGTCAAAGACATACTGCTGAGTGACCACTTCGAACCAGTTTCTGTCCACTTCGTCCCCGAGCTGTGTGTCTTCACACTCCTTCAGCTTGATCAGCGCTGTCACTTGAGCTCCAAACGCCTCGTCTGACAGCTGAACCAACTTCTCTCCAAAGCTGACCAGAAATGCTTCGATTTTACCTTCCACAAAGTCCGTGCTATGAGAGAACATGTAATTGATGTTTACAAAGATATTCAGATTAGATAAGTGTTGAAATTTCTTCATAAACCTTGCCTGAATTTGGTGGCCTGAGTTTCGACAGTAACGGAGAAGCCAAGAATGCCGGATGTGTTTCTGCATATGGGATAGACCTGATACCTGGGGGAAGAGTCCAATATTAAACACAGACACTGCAAAGACACTGCTGGTGAGAATGGGAAAAACTAACAATAGTTTTTTCACAACGTCTCAGCAGTTGGCCATTTTGAATGTAAACACCTCAGCAGTCGGCCATTTTGAAGAGCAGAACTTAAACGCCTCAGCAGTCAGCCATTTTGAAGAGCAGAACTTAAACGCCTCAGCAGACGGCCATTTTGAAGAGCAGAATGTAAACGCCTCAGCAGTCGGCCATTTTGAAGAGCAGAATGTAAACACTGCCACTGAACTGTATGAGACTTGCATATTTTGCGCATTATGGCAGCTAAAATGAAATCGGGGGGCACGTAATTAGAGCTGTAAAGCTTAACTTTTCGATTTTAGGTGAAAAATCAAATCTGTTGGAGACATCCAATAGATTAATAGATACCGAAAAAGTCCACAGAGGGGAGTGATCACCAGAATCGGGAAGTCCCAGAGTAAAATGAGAAAATATGATACACATCCGTGTTTTGGAATATGGAAAAACTGTATCTGATTGGGCAGTTAAAAGATTTAACTTGGGCCATCCCCATACTGGTAGATCTGTCTCTGTAGGATAGCAGCCTAATTACAAAGTAATTACAATAAGTGAGATCCGAGATGTGACTCGCCATAGATAATCTGTTGCAGGGGAGTTAAAGTCCCCAGCGTCGGGCTGAGATCAAGACCTTTTATTACCCTTGGCTAGCAAAAGAGATCTACTATGCAATTTACTTCCAGAAGGATGTTGAAATTGGGGGGCACGCAATTAGAGCTGTAAAGGTTAACATTTCGACTTTAGGTGAAATATCGAAACTGTTGGAGATGTCCAATAGATTAAAAGGTCCTTAAAAAGTCCTTAGAGGGAGGGTGATCACCAGAATGGGGAAGTCTCGGACTAAAATTAGAAAATTTGATACACCAGTGTTTTGGAATATGGAAATATGGAATTATGCCGTTTTCATCTGTTTTTATATTATTTGTTTCTATTTTATATATACTTGTCTCTTTTAATCTTGTTTATGTAAAGCACTTTGAATTGCCACTGTGTATGAAATGTACTATATAAATAAACTTGTCTAGCCTTGCCAAGAGTGCAACAGGTCAAACTGAGCAGAAAACAACCTATTAAATTCAATTTGTCAAAATATTTAACTTTTTCCTGTATACTAAGTCCTTCTCTATATACAAATAGCAACAATTATTGATCACTGTTTTTGAAGCAAGCTTCATAAAACATGTTTTCTTAACATTAGACTAAAAACCCTTTCTGGAAAGCCAAAAAAAAAAAAAAATCATTTCTTTGCCTGCAGTGTCTCAACTGAAGCAGAAATACTGCATTTACACATGGAGAAACAATCTGAAAGATGACGTTTTATCACTCACCCTAGAGTTTCCTTTGTCCTCAGGAAATCAAAGCAGGGCTCTTCCATGTGCATCTGAGAAACAAAAAAGGAAAGATTTACATGAATACAAAGTCAATAAAGACTTTCTCTCATTATAGTCTGAATTGGATCAATGCACTGAATCAACTCAACTCTAACAAACAATGTTTATCTCTCTAGCAGGAAAAAAAGCTTTTAAACTATAGGCATTTAGTTAGAGCCTGCAGCCATCTACTTTGAATGGTTTAAGTCTGTCATGAATACATAAATATGACACTAAAACCACTAGTAGGTTTGCAGCTGTCCCTGTTTTTATGGTTGATTCACTGAACTAAATGATTCATTCAAAAAGGCTGATTCATTTAGAAACAAAAAGCAAGTGACTGTCACTGACTCAATGAGTCTTTAAAAGTATGTAAACCTTCCATATGAAGATATTACAATATTAGGAAAAAACACAATGATTCTTTCAGTTTAAGCAAAGTAAAACTCACAACAAGCAGCTCCATCAGTGTATGCTCTCGCAAGTTCTTCAGCCCAGTCTAGAACACAAAAATCATAAACGTTCCTCACAAAGCCTCCAGAAGTTTTGACATGCAACACAGTAGTCACATAGACCGGCATTACCTGATAGTATACGGTGACTTCAGAGTTTGCGTCTGCTTTATTGAGCGACTGGACTTTACATAAGTGGTGTGTTT